ATAAGTAACTTTATCTCTCATATCTCTTATTTTTTTAAGTTGTGAGTGGTAAAAACGCGGAATGCGGCAATTTTCCAAATCCAGCCCAGCCGATTATCTGCTGAATATCAAACATAAGTCTGACTCTTTTTTCTACAACGTTTGGGTGAGAATCGAGCGCGACGGGCGAAAGCCTGGTCAGATTTTTCTTTTCTTTTCTTCTTTTTATTTCTTTTATCAACTAGTTAAGTAGTATTKAGCATTCAAGCAGGGACGCGGTCACAAGTTTTAGAATGAATCACTATAAGACTTCAATGGCCAATTACAAAAGAACAATACTCACTGACTGCGTGAACGAAGCCAGTGAACCAAGCCTGACTTAAAAATGAGCCGCTCTCGCTGGTTTWGTCCACGTAATGGTCTCAGAAAAGTTCCATACTTATATGAACCTTTTTTTCAGGCACAGATTGTCCAGGAACGGCAACGTTTTTTGATTTGGCGCACATGGTGTATACCGATACTCCACAAGTTATCAAAAATGCTGTCTGTGTGTTTGAATTGAACACTGGATCACCACTAAGACGACATTACGATAACGACCTTCAAGGAGGATATACTTTCTATGGTGGAATGACAAACCAGGTATGGCCGGCTCACTATCCTCAATAATGTCGCCGGAAGAATTACGATTTTAGTCCATGAGGCATGAACCAGATAATATTTGAGGGTCTCAATGGGGTGGTATGCATCACGACTCACGGCAAAAAATTCGGCTATTTCTCGACTCACGACTATTTTTTTCGAATCACGGTTAACTAGATTACTTTCAGAAATTTTTGAAATGAAAACAACGTTTTTCATTACTTTTTCATGTAATTTGTTTTGTGCTAGAGATAGTGAGTGTTGGAGCACAGTGTCCCTTGTACGTTATAGTCAATATAATTTTTATCAACACTCTCAAATGTCACTTTTGTCCATGCCTTGTCTGCGGGACCTTGTTGGTAGGTGCGATCCAGGTAGAATTTTGAGGGAGCGGGGTGGACGATTTTGAGAACAAAAACTCCTGCACGGCCCGAAGGGCTGAAAAAAAATTCTTGCAAGGCAAAATTCTTCACTAAAGCTTTTATTTTTTAGATTTATTAAAACAAAATACAAGCGCGCGCTTGGAGTTGACTGTCCCTCTGAGGAACAATACTGAATCACGGCTCACGCTATAAAAAAAATATTCACGCCTCACGGCTAATTTTTTCTCATTTTCACGACTCACGACTATTTTTTCAGCCGTTTCACGGCTCACGGTTAACCCCATTGAGACCCTCTAATTTTTTCTCATTTTCACGACTCATGACTATTTTTTCAGCCGGTTAACCCCATATTTTGCTATACTACCATCTTTGTGGAAAAGGGTATCATATATCAAATTAAAGTTTATCATGACTAGATGTCAAAGATGTGTGATAGTTAGCTTAGCGGTAGTAGTTACAGCCGTCACGTGACTTAGAATTTTGTGCAATAAGCAAAAAGCCAGGCTTTAATACTATAAAGCTTTTAATATATATCAAATTAGCATATTACAAGGCGATTGCAAAAATATACGATATTTGGGTGAGTCTCGTCCGTAGTCGGTAGCCAAGTTACCAAGTTACCAAGTTACAATGTCATACAACAGCCCACCTTACGTATAAAACACGTATTTTGGTATTTTCCTCAATATATGCAAGAAAACAATGCCAATACATATCAAATTTTAGCTTGCCATCAACATATTTCAAAAGTGTAAGATAGACAGTCCATTGCAAATATAGAGGATATTACAAGCAACCATGTAATATTCTGCTTATCACATAATTAAATGAGACAGCACATTATGTCGTAAAATACCTTTTTTTACTTCCACTATATAGAGAAAGCTCGGATGTGTTACTTTCACTTGTGAAAATATCAACTTTGCGCAATGAAGAAATTTAGGTATTTTATAGATAATTATATGATAAAAGGCAATCTGATTTTGATATGTATAGTTTACAACATGAGCGGCCGTGTTGTATGGGAATTACAATCTCGAGCCGCAGGCGAGAGATTGTAATTCCCATACAACACGGACGCGAATGTTGTAAACGACTTATAAAACTCCAACACAAATTAACATGAATTACAATGAGATAAATGACGAAAAATGACAAATAAGGTAACTGCTGAGTTTAGTCCCTATTAAGCATGCGCAATTTACTGCAACACAGAACATTTTGAATAATTATCCATCCCACATGGAAAGCAAGCCATCTGTTGCATAAGCGAGTTCTGTTATCCGTCTTTGATTGCTTCAAAACCTAGTGAAGGTCTATGATGCGACACTAAAACTGAGACCTTTGCTAGTGTTGGGTTGTCTCAATGGTGACGACCGTGTTGTAAATCTGATACAACCACTAGTGGTTGTATCAGATTTACAAGGTCAATCACCTGATTAAATGGTCAGCCCTTATTGGAGCAATAGCTTATGCATTATTAATAAGTTTTATAAG